CGAGTTCAGCAGTTAATTCTGGTGAAACAACAGCCGGTGCCCGGGCACAAGGCGCGTAGTGGGAGTTAGTGCCCCTCAAAGGGCGTGCTCTAAAAAAACCCCGCAAAAAAACCCCCCAAAACCAACCCCAAAACCTCAAAACGTTTTGAATATTTTCTTCTGCTTCTTGGGCCAATTTCAAGGCAGACACAATTAAGAGTATTTATTTGCAACTTGGCATTAATGATGTGACAGCTTCAACAACTAGTTAAAGCAGCTGTAATTAAAGATCACATTTTAGAGAAGCCAAGTTGTTGTTAGTACAAAATTACTGCAGTTTTAGTGCATTATACTATGCTCAAAGCAAGATTTCCTAGAACATCCTTCTAGTGCTCTGCTCGCACATACTGACCGCAGAATTCTGCTTACCCATTTGTCTCAGAAGTGTAACCTCTGAGTTTCCTAACAAAGTAAAATGCCATAGTTTTTTATATTAAAGCTGTAGAATATTTGGCTATTTTAATATGCACTAATATGTCTCCAGAACTGTTTTCAAAGCTGATTTACAGTCTTGTACAACAAACATGTAGGAGCTGAGGTAATGCTTAGGTCTTATATACAGTAAATTCAGTCTTAACTGGCATTAGATTTACTTCTGTTTGTATGTTACAGGTTTGAATAGCTCGTAATTAACATAATCATTTGCAAGTGTAATGGAAGAGGGCAAGGCTGAAGATATCCAGGGTATTCTACGACTTAACGTGCGAGGATGTTTATACACTGCCAGGCGCGAGTCTTTGTGCCGCTTTAAGGATTCAATGCTAGCTTCTATGTTTAGTGGACGCTTTCCTCTAAAAGTGGATGAGTCAGGTACGTATGTTCAAGCTGTAAATATGACGTTCTGATCAGGGAGCTTTGTGGCAAATACATGCTTTTATATATATATATCTATGCATTATATAGTATATCTCTCTCCCCAATCTGCTGAGCATCAGTTGGCTTCTTTAATTCCAGGATGTAAAACAATTATGCATGCATGATTTTATACTTATGAGTAATTAATCTGAATTCCACAAGACTACTCATGTTTGCAAATATACATTTTTGTACATTGCTTAGCCCCGTCTCGTCCCAGTCCAAACTGAGGCTTTGGAATACACTTCATCATGAATATGAAAATAGATAAAATAGATAAAATTGAAGGCGTATTTGGCATTTAACTTGGATCCTGCTTATGACCCCCTAAATTCTCCAGAGGCATCTCATTCTCTTTGTTCATTACATAAGGAGATTTGGGTCTAATCTTTTTTTCAGAATACTTCATTACCCAGTGAAGATTGCATTTTTGACTACCATGGCTTGATATTAAAGCTAGAATAAAAGTATTAATGGGTCAAATTTCACACTTGCTTGTGACTTGGAAATCCTGCCAAAGTATGTCCAGTTTAAAGATATGATGGATAGAGAATAGTAATGCCTTGTTGTACACTTTTGACTGTTTAAAATATCTGAAATGTTTGTAAAACATTTGTATGGGCAGGGCTTTGCTACCATCTTTCAGTTGCATTGAACAGCCTATTGTATAGAGATGTGTATTCTTTGGGCAGTTTCCATAGTTGTCCTTGAGCCCAGCAGGCAGAGGAGAGAAAAAGATACAAAAAAATACCGTAAAACTTGAACAATATTCAGGGAAGATTAGACTAGATACGTACTGAAGCTGATGCTACTTTTAACTCTTTTAAATTGCCAAGATCCAAAATTGAAAAAATCTGTGCAATAGCAAGAAAAGATGTATCTGCAATCAGAATTAGAAATGCATCTAGGATTAGATTTTAGTGTTGTAAGTGGAGTGCGGTACAGATGAGGTTGTATGTTGGCATGGTCCTATGCAGACTAGTGATTTCACTGAAATTCCAAATAAATGTTTACTGCACTAAGAATTTTATCTTCAAATAACAAATATTCCAGGGAAACAAAACAGTACTTTTAAAAGAATTGAGACAGTGTACTTACTACTCCTATTTAAGTAAAACTAGTACAGAAGTTTTACAGAAAGGCTTTTCTCGATGTTTCGGTAGAATGTGACAAGTCTGTCTTTGGTTGCTGGAAGCAGTATTTTAAATAATTTTATTTATGTTTTCAGGAGCATGTCTAATTGATCGAGATGGAAGCCTGTTTAAATATCTTTTGGATTATCTTCATGGAGAAGTTCGGATTCCTGAAGATGAACAAATTCGAATTGCACTGCAGGAGGAAGCAGATTATTTTGGCATCCCTTATCCATACACTCTGTCTGACCATTTGGCCAATGAAATGGAGACATATTCTTTAAGGTCAAATACAGAGCTTAAAAAGGTCTTGACATTTCTTACATTTTTGAAGATGCATATCATTCATTAGCATCAGATACTAAAACTATAGTATATGCAAGTTAGTGCTTTTTAATCATCGCGTTAAACCACCAGTAAATTCAAGAGTTGCAGGTTAAAGAATCCTAGAGTTGATAATGTAGTCACAGTAGTTAAGGCTATCAGCTTTTCCCATCATTGTGATACAGAAACAGTTTAAATTTGACTCTGTTTTACATGCAAGTCTTCTAGAAGACTCGCACAGTAGGAATGACATTGTTTAGTTCTCTATTTGGCTTCAAATTTTACTTGAGATTGGATTCAATACCTTCAGGATGTTTGGGGTTGTTTTTTCAGTTTTACAAATCCATCCTAAAACTTGAAAGATAAAATGTACTTTGCCATTTTTTTAGAACAAGAAAGGAGAAAATAAAATTAATGTATTATTTAAAATCCTAAGGTTTGTCTACTTTAGAGTACTGTAACTTAAAAGCTAATTCTAATTAACTGATTGAAATTAACTCTTATTACCAGGCATGGCTGTGTTAGCCCTGACACTCATCTATCTTCTTTAAGTAAGCTATCGTTCCATACATTTCACATTCTCCCTTACTTATTTCCTTTTGAAAAGCAAAAAACATTTCCAGACCTTTCAGTTTCACTTCATATTAGGGATTTACCACACCTTTCTGTGAATTTCTTCTAGTTTTACAATATTATCTCTTAACATCAGATAAGAAATACTGCACAATTATAGATAAACTACATCCCTGATTTACTTAAAAAAGCTCACCAGTACAGTTAAAACTTAAATATGAAAGCTTATTCAACTAAAAATATTGTATTCTTACTATGTATTATATATTTTGTGTTTCACGTTTTTTCCAGGCTTTGTTAGATTTCTGCGATTCTTATGATTTAGTTTGTACCAAGCCTACAGTTTGGGTCCTCCACTATCTCAACACCTCTGGAGCAAGCTGTGAAAGTAAAATTATTGGTGTGTATGCAACAAGAGCTGATGGGACTGCTGCAATTAATAAGGAGCTAGGAACAAAAATTCATAGTAAAAGCATTTACAAACGGTAAGATAACTGTCAAACACATGAAAGCTCTATGAAGTGACAATGAACACTTACATATTATAATAGTACCTAAATATTATTATATGTAGCATAATAGAGCATTATTGTACTATAAATCTGTGGAAGGAACCAGCTTCAAAAGCAGCTGGCTAATACAATGGTCACATTAAACAAACAAATGAAAAAAGATAAAAACTAAGCATGGAGTACAAGAATTTGAAAGAGTCCACAAAGGTGGCTAGCATGCAGTTGCTGCAAGTTCTTACTATGTTTTACTTGCTATTTTAAAAATGTCTCAACCATTTAAAATTATTTTCTAATTTAGGACAATGTTTACACTAAATACAGTGAATGAATCCCCACCCAGAAAAAGTTCCAGACATATTCACAAAGTTGGTTGTGATTCATGCAATTGTATTGGCAGTCTTCTAAGACAGCTGAAGGATATATTTAACACTGAAAAGAACTGAAGATGAAAGGAAGTAGTTTTAATTCTTTAAAGGACACTTCCATCTCTACTACACTATTAATGTTTTTTTTATTACAGTAATTATAAGTTATTGGTAGACCTGTTCCAGCCCTGAGTGTCTGGAAGCAATTTGTCTTTCTGTTGGTCCCACAGTATAGTATAAGAAGTATGTTTCACTGTGTACCTTTTGAAACAATTATAAGATAGAGCTTTTGATGTTTTATTAGCTGTACAATTAAGATGCTTATTTTCCTAAATTTAGGCTGGGAACATTACACTTATTCCAACAGTATTTGGACACATAGTATCAGGTATCTGTCCTCCTATTGTGTGTTCTCTTTGAATAAATGATTGAGATTTAGAAGAATAGATTTTACTCCATTAATTGTGTAATTATTCTTTTATGAACATCTGTTCTTTCCTGAATACCCATTTTTAGCAACACAGACATGTAGATCATAGGAATATGGCTATTTACAAAACATTTACTATTAAGTCCTTATAGTTTCGATTTGGTAAAAAGAATGATACATTTAATCAGTGTTACATTTCAAGGACTCAGCTAGATTTACCACATAACTGTTACCTTTAAAACAATATTTCTAGAGAAGCTGGAAATAATGTCCAATACATCTGGAGCTATTACTCAGTAGATGAATTGAAAAAGATGATGGATGCTTTCGATGCCTGGGAAGGGAGAGGTAGAGTATTAATTTTTTTTCTTTTATTTCAGTAGCACTATGTTTTTACAGAAAAATAAGAAAAATATTTGCCAATTAACTATAATAAAAAGTCTGCATACATTTTCATTCTTTCAGTAAGTAACACATAAAATATCCCATAGTAGTGGCTATTTTGAGGGGAGAGGGGAGTGGGGCAGAGAAAAAGAGTCTTAAGGGATGCTCCAGCAAAGTGACAAGAGTTGACAGAAATGAGATGTTGTGAGAGACACCACATGCAAGCAGTGACACCCTGCTAGCATTGGGCGCTCTGGTGGAACCCCTAGAAGCGCGTTGGCTGTAAGCAACATTCATGTCAGGATAGTTTCAAAGCTGAAATTCTACATAATTAAATACATGCATTCATTTAGTCAGGTGTATACACATAATATTGACTAAGTTCTCGTAGCTCATCAGTACAACCTCCCTTTGAAATGCAGGTGTCAGCTACTGGAGAGTGCCTCAGGAGCTGATTGAATGTTGGACTCTTGAAGAATGCCCTTTGAAAGGAAGTTTGCATCATATGCCTCCAGTTCATAAAAGGTATGCCGATTTGCATGGGTGGCTTAAAATGAAGCAGAAATACAGCACAATCTTTTTATTTTTTTATAATTTCAAGTTCTTTGAATAGCTATGAATATTGAGTTTTGTTTTTTCTATTTACATTTTTATAAAATGTCTTGTAATCAGAGAGCTTAATTGCAGAACTGAACTTGCTAGAAACAAGTTACCGTTCTTAGACTGCTGAAACTTCTCTATTCTACTTCTTCAGCCTTTAAAACACCACTGTAGAGTGGGAAGGAGTAATTTCAAAAAGTAGAGAGCAGTATTAATTAAATGGACTGCTAAAAAAATTTTAACTGAAAAACTGAAAAGGTTAACTGATCTTCATAGCTGTGAGATGCCTTCTTTTTAGAAGGAATTTCTAGGATTTCTTCTTTGCAGTTTTACAGTGATACTTTTGACTACACCTCTATTCTCAACACATTACCTAAAAGCAGACTTTGCAGGTGCAGCTACACAGTTGATCTGAGCCACCCTACAGCCATTTTGCAGCCAGAGAGAAGAGGATCCTCCTGACCTTCCTTGTCCTTGTCCCTGGCCACAGTCATTTCAGCAGCAGCCACAGAGCCACAGAGCCACACCAGCACAATGATCCAACTGAAATCCCCTATCTCACCATCCCCACCCCCCCTTTTTTTGTTCCTTCCTAACGTCCTGTTCAGCTGTCTTAGCGTGACCTGATTCTATGGCATCATTTATTACTTCCTTAAGGAATTCAAATATTCTAGCTGTCCGTCCATTTTAATTTGCCAAGACTGAGAAACGTCATTTGTATACTTTAAAACTGCTCTCTACTTGTACCAATTAGAGTTGCTATGAGACTCCACAGGCTTTCCTAGATAGGGTTTTTTTTTTTTTTTTAAAATTTTCACTTGAAAGATTATCCATAATCATTTGTATTGAAAATAAATGTGAGAGGGAGAAAGAAGCAGTATCTTTCTTCTTCTTTTCTCAAATTACATAGTTTGGAACTCTGTTTTTGTTTATATGCAGTTGGATCTTACATTTTTTGTAGATAACAGTTTGGAACTCTGTTTTTGTTTATATGCAGTCGGATCTTACATTTAAAACACATCAGGCTAGTATTTAGTACTTGATGGAATCAATTTTAACATTTTCTTTCTGTAACTCCTCCAGCCTACTTTCTCATTTATTTTCACTTAGCAGTTTGTGCAGCATATCTCTTACAGTTTTTAATGTCTAATATTACTTACACAGGTAGAAGAGATTGATGGTGCTATTCATATAAATGCAAGCCTGATTGCAGTGATGAACAGTTGAGAACCACAGATTATACTGTTAACAAGCAAAAATTAAAAGAACTTCAGATTTGTGGATGGCTGTCGCAGGTTGTCTGTTTCGTAATAACGTTATAAAAATAGTTTATGTACACAGCTTGTTTCTTTAACTGAAGTTCTTTGTTTCACAGACGATTATTCGACTTTACTGAAGAGGAAGACTATTTACCATGTAAAGTGGGTCCCAAGCCAATTAGATTCTCAGGTCCCTCAACAAGTACCCACATCAAAGTCAAGAATTCAGCTGCATTAAAGGTAGCTGCTTGCAATGCTTCACGTTCTGCAGTGACTCTTAAACGACCCAATAGTGAAAGTTTGATGCTGCACAAAGTAGCTTCTGAAACTGTATCCACAACATCTACATTGGTGCCCAGCAATTCCCAGGTGCCCTGTGGAAGGCAGAGTGCTGACAGTGGCACCCCATGTCAAATGACATTCAAGATCGCAGTGTCTAGGAAGCCCGGAAGCAACCGTGTAGTAAAGCTGAAGCGAACTCCACTTTTTCTTGTGTCACCATCTCAGCCATCTTCTTCCGTGTCCAGTAAAACAAGTGAACAGGACAGTACTGCAGTTGAAATTCCTACTACTTCTGTGGCACTAAACAAGAAAGAACCAGCTGTATTAGCAGAGAGTATTAAGCTCAAGAACGATAAAGTGGATGCATAATGTTTGACTTAGCCTGACAGACTGGATAACCTTGCATCATCTGGTCAAAGTGATCATCATTTCACATGCAAAGATTTAATAGAAAATTATGATCAAAAAGTTTGTGAAAATCATAGGGAGAAATTGTTTTAAGTAAGCAATGAAGTGTGTTTTCTGCTTTATTTCTAAATATTTTTTAGATGTTGGGAAGGGAGGAAGAAAAATGGATTAAAAAAAACCTCCTCAAACACAAATCATGTGCAGTCTAATGTAACAGTATCTCACATTTGTATTTCTGTCAGGCTGTAATATTACAACTGACCTTTTTAAAAGGAGTACTTGCACAACATAAAAGACTTCTTTATCAACTTAACTACAGTTAACATTAACTAGAGTTAATTTCCTTAATCTGTATCTTTAACGTGGGGAAAACCAGATAACAATAAGTAGCTTTTATTAGATACAAAAGATTAGAATCTTTAAGGTAGTGGTTTTTCTTAAAAATAAACCTAAAGAGCAACAATTCTAAGGCTCTTCCTATCCCAACAGAAAAAGTTTCACTGAAAAAAGGACAAGGCAGAAATTATGGAAAGATACTATCATAATAAAATCTCCTGTTCTTTGAGCACACATTTCATCATTGACACTAAGTTCTTCCCAATCCACAAAGGACAAATTCTCACCTGATAAAAACAGGAGGCCAGTTACGCCATCAAAAACTTGGGAGTGAAGCTGTGTGTCCTTTAACTGTCCCAGTTACAGAGTCAGAGTGTAGTTAGAAGTAAAACTCTCTAAATACTCTGTGGTAATAAAGCCCCACAAAAACCTAGATTCATTTTGGGCAACAGCTTTTATTAAAAAGATCTTAAGCAGAAGAAACAGTTAAGCCTAACGTTACAGACCTTTCCTGCTTTCTGAGCTTTTTGGCTATCTCTCCTTACAGAATTTTCTTCTTGCCAAAAAACTCCGGCTGTTTATACCAGAATTGATCACTCTTGGCTGAAAAATACTTTGCAAATTCATGGGGTCACGTGATCAGCTGTGTAGCGTGCCCAGAGTTTGCATCAAGGATTTGTCCCTTTTCAACGTTGCCCCTTTCCTATATATATTTATCTTTTCACACATTCTAGTCTCTGGTACAACACACATGAACATTTTAGTAGTTTGTTTTACTAATCTGCCATAATAAAATAGCTGTATTATCTCAAATTTCTGGCAAATTTCTGTTTTATGCTCACATGGGTAATTAGTAGTGGTACTGGAACTGAGACCTCTGGATCCCATGGTGCCTCTGCTGTAGTCACAAGTATATGTACAGGATAAATCTTCATGCAGCCTTGTCACTACATGGGGAAAAAAGACTCTCAGTAAGAACTGCCAGCTGTACAAGCTCAGACAAGGTGTTCCCCTACAACAGGAAAGCGCAAGATCGATGTTTCCCTTCTAGAATTACTAGTTTCTCTTTCAGGGTGACATTTTCAAACACATTAAGTAATATTTTTTTTTTTAAACTTTTTCCCCAGACATGCCTAAATAACGCAACTTTTCCCAACAGCTTGGCTGTGTTAAGTTACCTTCTCTTTTTACTTTTCCAACTGCATGTTTGGTCCTTTATTTTGCTGTGTTCTGCCCTTACTCTGAGTTTAATCTTATACAGAAGATAAAAGGATCCAACTTGCCTTATAATCCTGCCCTTTAAGGTGTGTTTCCACTTCCAAAAGACCATGATACAAAATGCAGTGTGAATTCCATGTTTGTGTTCGAGTGATGCCAAACAGCTGTATTTGCTTTGCAAATGGAGGACACTTTTTAAAAAGATGGCTGTTCCAGAAGTCAAGCCTTGTCCTGCCCTGAATTCCCTTGCTGACCCCTGTACAAATCCCTTACGGTAAAAGGAGTATCACACGTAGCTAGCTCTGTGATTAGAAGATAAAAAACGAGTTCTGTTGAAGACAGGCCCAAAAGCTTTCAAGTACTTGGAAGCACTGTGAACAGCAAAACATTCCTAGAAATTGGCAGATAGAATTCCAAGCATACAGAGACAAAGAAATGAAAGATGAAAAGATACTGTTCTGACACAGCTACACTCCAGAGCACAGCCAAGTAACATAGTTAAAGCGTGTACAGCAATATAAGCCACACTTGGTGTGCTAAGACTACAGCATTCCCAGAACCAGCCCAACCACATCTACGCTTGCATCTCTCATCAAAGAAAATGTGTTTGCATCACAGTCTGAGGAGAAATGCTGTCTCTCACCTATTAGTCCTGGGTCTGTCACATACTGAGCCTCCAGGTTAGCTGGCACTGAAGAGCACAAGATGGTCCTGTTGTGCTGAGTTATGTTACAGATTTTATTATTTGCAGAAGCCTGCTTGTGAGAAGCTGACTTATGGAATAAAATAACTTTCAATAATCCTCTCAAGTGGAGAAGCCATTAAGGAAGGAGTAAAAGTCATTCTAGATAAGTTAGATATTCTTTTTTTAGGAGGGGTCACAAGAAGAGACATAAATACATTTCACAAATTATGTTAGGACAATATATAAGATTCCTGTGTAATATCTGCATGGAAATTATAATTACATCTCTTACAGTGAGCTTACAAACTGTATGGCAGCAGACAAATTTTGAAAAGTTACCTAGCTGATGGGTGTGTACAACACAGATTCTGGAACTTCAGCTCCATTTACTCAAAACATTCAGCTTAAAAGCTGACAGGTAATTAACAAGGGTAGAAGCAGTGCTTGCAATGCTAAGAAAGCCAGTGTTTACCCATATGTGTTTATTTTTCTTTCACTGCTCTTCCAGATGAAGATGAGTTATTTGCCTTTTAGGCAAATAATTGGTTTTACCAATATTCACATGTGGAAAACTGTACATAGATATCAAGAGAAATAAAAATAATCAAAATCACCCTTAAGAAATGTACCTCACTCTACACTTTGACATTATTTTTCAAGGGCCACAAAGGAAAAGTACAACAGTCAGTACTAAGGAAGTGTACAGTCAGCTAACAGAAATTAGGCAGGGGAAATTGGTAAAAAGCAAAAGCAAACAATAACCTAGAAATAAACTTTTAAAGATATTCAGGTGTTCTGCTGTTACTGACCTCTAGAAAATAGAAAAGAGACCTCTAGAATCTTTTACACCTTTGTGATTCTGACCTTTAGGCAGCTAGTTCACTTGATGCCAGGTCTGGATTCTGACACTTCACTATGTTAAATAATACTTTACATTAAAAGTATGTGCAGGATGGAGGTGGCTCACGTGAGAAGGTTCTGTTCTGTGCACTTGTGACATTAGAACCTAGCTAAAAGTAAAAGCCTAGTCCAATCCAAACTCAGCTGAAAGCCTCCCACTGATACCAGTTGAATTAAGCAAATACAATTTGAATAAAATCACAAAGATTAGGTACCGCAAAGCAGCAAACACCGGAATATTTTAGAAAGATTTTAATTTTTTGGAAGAAAGATGTTTTCTGAAATACAGAATTGGAACTTTAAGACTAAGTTAGATTTTTACTTTAATAGAAAACTCGGAAGGATGTAGTATCTGCTCAAATATGTATCTCCACATTCTGCTGCACGTTGCTTTAACAAACTTACTAGTCATAGCTCTTGTTACAGATAGATGGTTTCTACAGCAAAAATATAGAAAAATAATTTGGATTCAAGTCTAGAGCACCTGCAACTTTTCATATGCAAAAAAATAAATCCAACTAGTCATAGAAAAGTGGCTGATAAGGATGGAGAATAGGGCTGTGCATCTGAATAGCCATGACTATATACATTCCGAACTTAAGAAATGAGCATTTTTCTGCAGCCTCATAAAAACAGTTTGTTAATGAAAAGTATCAGTATGCAATACATTCAATACAATTTATACTTGATGTCATATTATGGAATAATAAGCTGAAATCAAATGTACTGCTTTTTCAAATGTTCTTGTATATAACAATACTCTCGGTGTATACAGTGTGCATGCATGTATGTGTATACATGCACAGAAATAAAGAAGTGTATAAAGATTTGCAGAAACATTCTACAGGATTATCTGATTTCATTGTAGTCCACAGCATACAGACTTCCTGGGGTCCTTCTAACACAGGCTGCTCTAAAAAACAATAATGTTGACTGCTATAAACACGTATCTACAACAGGTCTTTTGCTATGATGAATTTAATTATAAATTTATTTTTCCAATCTAGATTTCATTTCTCTAAGAAATAAATGCTGCTTTGGTAAGATTTTGTACTGTCATGACAAAATAACTGTGAACACATTGGGCAAAGCCTTGAAAGTATGAATTAATTTTGATAATTAGTAAGTAATAGAGATACCAACAAGTAGCAACAAATTTAAAAAGGCTATGTTCTGACTTATTTTCTTCACCAACAAGCATCTTGAGCAAGAAACTAAAACAAGAGATTAAATTTCTCTGCCTGCCATCACCGTGACATTTTAAGCCACCAAAGTCACAGCTGGCACTGAAAGAACAGTGGCATCAGCAGAGACCTCCATCCTTGCAGGGCATAAATTGCATTGTGACACCCTGCCAACTCTGCCTTGGAAAGGCCTGTGATCTGCGCCGTCTGGTGTATGATGCTTTCGTCGGGTCTTTTCTGAATGTGTCAGATTCTCTGTGGTCCTTGTAGTTGTGGATTGCTCTTGATTTCTCATAGCTCCTTTATTTTTAGATCTGAAGCTGTTATGCTGCTGTCTTCTGTGTTCAGATCTGGAACCACTCTTCATATTATTTTGATCTGCCTCATTACTGGCACCTTGTGACTTAAGACATCCATTGAGCCGGATGTTTTGGTGCTGTGGGTTGAATCTTCGTCTCTGGCTAGAAGGCCCATTCTACCCAGGAAGAAATTGGATAACTGTTAGGTTATCTGAATCCTTTGACCAGAACAAGAAATACAGCAATCAGAATTAACAAAAGTTGCAGAAAAAAAATGTCAGTGTAACCAGGAGAGGGAAAACACTATGCAGTTTTTATTATAGCTAGAGCTCTATTTCT